GGGAGGAAATTGCCACTAAGTCCTCCTGAAGATCTTTTGCAGTCACTCAAAGGTTTTTCACAAGCAGTCAGGCAGGCATCTGATGCTCTGCCTGTACTGAGGGCCTTGAGGGGTCAAGGCACTCAGTTAAAATAAAAAAAAAATAAAAAAAATAATACTAAATGTAAATTTGTAAAAATAATTAACCCCTACCCTCCCTCCCTCCCTCTCATTCCCCATGTACTTACCGATCGCCACCATTCCCCCACCGGCGATTGGTTTTCTTCTGAGCCCAGACAGTCCCTCCTCTGCAATTTAGGACCCCTAAAAATTGTCTCAGGGGATCATGTGACCACTCTAAAAGAGCGGTCACATGGCCACAAGAGGTGTCCACAGTGCTGCCAGCAGGGGGACTGCTTGAAATTCCCCCTGCTGGTGGAAAAAGTTAAAAAAAGTTAAATTAAAAAAGAAACATTTAAAATAAAGTTACAAAATTAACAAATATATAAATATCTTATATATAACGTTATACTAAGTGTATTTTTTATTAATATATTTAATTATATATATGCATACATATATTAATAAAAAATACACTTAGAGTAAAATTACACACGGATATATATAATGTATATAATAACTATATATATATATTGTATATATATTATTATTATTATAAAAATTTTATAATAATTATTTAAAAATAAATTAAAAACTGTAAAACAAAAATTACGAAATTATACGTGTATACATATATATTATTTTAATCTAACTGTATTTTGATATATATATATATATATATATATTGCGGTGATGTGGTCATGGTGATCACATGGCCCTGGAGGTCCGCAGTGGCCGGAGCTGCTGCAGGGGGACTGCTGGGATCTCCGGCAGTCCCCCCTGACTGTGATTGCCATGTATTTTGATATAAATATATATATATATATATAAATAGGTTATGGTGGGGAAAAATTGTGATTGAAAACCCCTTCCACCTGAAGTATGTGGATAGTTAATACAATGCTAAACAAAAATCTGCACACCAGTCAAGCCATAAGACTTGCTTTTCCCACAGAAATCCCAAATCAGCAGTGATGTTACAACCGCAAAGGATTCTGGGTGGGCATATGCAAATTAGTTTAACAAAGAATCACATTTTTGCCTCATTCCATTTTAAACATGGATTCCTTTTAATTTGTGTTTGCAGTATACAACTGCTTGGAACACAATTTAGGATAAGATGCAAAACCAGTGAACCACTCATGGACAGCTGTTTCGTTGTTAATGCAACTCTTCAGCATGAGGTTGGTTACTGGTTTGCTAATTGAGGCTTGGTAGTGCTTGGGAAGCAAAATCTAAATAGGTTATGGTGGGGAAAAATTGTGATTGAAAACCCCTTCCACCTGAAGTTATGTGGATAGTTAATACAATGCTAAACAAAAATCTGCACACCAGTCAAGCCATAAGACTTGCTTTTCCCACAGAAATCCCAAATCAGCAGTGATGTTACAACCGCAAAGGATTCTGGGTGGGCATATGCAAATTAGTTTAACAAAGAATCACATTTTTGCCTCATTCCATTTTAAACATGGATTCCTTTTAATTTGTGTTTGCAGTATACAACTGCTTGGAACACAATTTAGGATAAGATGCAAAACCAGTGAACCACTCATGGACAGCTGTTTCGTTGTTAATGCAACTCTTCAGCATGAGGTTGGTTACTGGTTTGCTTATTGAGGCTTGGTAGTGCTTGGGAAGCAAAATCCAAATAGGTTATGGTGGGGAAAAATTGTGATTGAAAACCCCTTCCACCTGAAGTATGTGGATAGTTAATACAATGCTAAACAAAAATCTGCACACCAGTCAAGCCATAAGACTTGCTTTTCCCACAGAAATCCCAAATCAGCAGTGATGTTACAACCGCAAAGGATTCTGGGTGGGCATATGCAAATTAGTTTAACAAAGAATCACATTTTTGCCTCATTCCATTTTAAACATGGATTCCTTTTAATTTGTGTTTGCAGTATACAACTGCTTGGAACACAATTTAGGATAAGATGCAAAACCAGTGAACCACTCATGGACAGCTGTTTCGTTGTTAATGCAACTCTTCAGCATGAGGTTGGTTACTGGTTTGCTAATTGAGGCTTGGTAGTGCTTGGGAAGCAAAATCTAAATAGGTTATGGTGGGGAAAAATTGTGATTGAAAACCCCTTCCACCTGAAGTATGTGGATAGTTAATACAATGCTAAACAAAAATCTGCACACCAGTCAAGCCATAAGACTTGCTTTTCCCACAGAAATCCCAAATCAGCAGTGATGTTACAACCGCAAAGGATTCTGGGTGGGCATATGCAAATTAGTTTAACAAAGAATCACATTTTTGCCTCATTCCATTTTAAACATGGATTCCTTTTAATTTGTGTTTGCAGTATACAACTGCTTGGAACACAATTTAGGATAAGATGCAAAACCAGTGAACCACTCATGGACAGCTGTTTCGTTGTTAATGCAACTCTTCAGCATGAGGTTGGTTACTGGTTTGCTTAGTGAGGCTTGGTAGTGCTTGGGAAGCAAAATCAAATAGGTTATGGTGGGGAAAAATTGTGATTGAAAACCCCTTCCACCTGAAGTATGTGGATAGTTAATACAATGCTAAACAAAAATCTGCACACCAGTCAAGCCATAAGACTTGCTTTTCCCACAGAAATCCCAAATCAGCAGTGATGTTACAACCGCAAAGGATTCTGGGTGGGCATATGCAAATTAGTTTAACAAAGAATCACATTTTTGCCTCATTCCATTTTAAACATGGATTCCTTTTAATTTGTGTTTGCAGTATACAACTGCTTGGAACACAATTTAGGATAAGATGCAAAATCACAATTTTTCCCCACCATAACCTATTTAGATTTTGCTTCCCAAGCACTACCAAGCCTCAATTAGCAAACCAGTAACCAACCTCATGCTGAAGAGTTGCATTAACAACGAAACAGCTGTCCATGAGTGGTTCACTGGTTTTGCATCTTATCCTAAATTGTGTTCCAAGCAGTTGTATACTGCAAACACAAATTAAAAGGAATCCATGTTTAAAATGGAATGAGGCAAAAATGTGATTCTTTGTTAAACTAATTTGCATATGCCCACCCAGAATCCTTTGCGGTTGTAACATCACTGCTGATTTGGGATTTCTGTGGGAAAAGCAAGTCTTATGGCTTGACTGGTGTGCAGATTTTTGTTTAGCATTGTATTAACTATCCACATACTTCAGGTGGAAGGGGTTTTCAATCACAATTTTTCCCCACCATAACCTATTTAGATTTTGCTTCCCAAGCACTACCAAGCCTCAATTAGCAAACCAGTAACCAACCTCATGCTGAAGAGTTGCATTAACAACGAAACAGCTGTCCATGAGTGGTTCACTGGTTTTGCATCTTATCCTAAATTGTGTTCCAAGCAGTTGTATACTGCAAACACAAATTAAAAGGAATCCATGTTTAAAATGGAATGAGGCAAAAATGTGATTCTTTGTTAAACTAATTTGCATATGCCCACCCAGAATCCTTTGCGGTTGTAACATCACTGCTGATTTGGGATTTCTGTGGGAAAAGCAAGTCTTATGGCTTGACTGGTGTGCAGATTTTTGTTTAGCATTGTATTAACTATCCACATACTTCAGGTGGAAGGGGTTTTCAATCACAATTTTTCCCCACCATAACCTATTTAGATTTTGCTTCCCAAGCACTACCAAGCCTCAATTAGCAAACCAGTAACCAACCTCATGCTGAAGAGTTGCATTAACAACGAAACAGCTGTCCATGAGTGGTTCACTGGTTTTGCATCTTATCCTAAATTGTGTTCCAAGCAGTTGTATACTGCAAACACAAATTAAAAGGAATCCATGTTTAAAATGGAATGAGGCAAAAATGTGATTCTTTGTTAAACTAATTTGCATATGCCCACCCAGAATCCTTTGCGGTTGTAACATCACTGCTGATTTGGGATTTCTGTGGGAAAAGCAAGTCTTATGGCTTGACTGGTGTGCAGATTTTTGTTTAGCATTGTATTAACTATATATATATATATATATATATATATATATATATATAGATGTACATTTATTCTAACTGTATTTTGATATTACATTATATATATTTATATCAAAATACACGGTCGGGGGTATTGCCGGAGACCCCAGCAGTCCCGGTACAGGTCGCCGTGTATTTTGATATAAATATATATATATATATTATTGTCCAATGCTTGCACTCCAGTAAAATTATCAGTATAGCCCAGTGCTTGTCAGCAAAAATTAATAAAAAATAAAATAGGAAAAGCACTCCAAGGACTTCATTTACAGGTGAAAAAAATAAACTTAACTTTATTCAGTAACTGCCACGAGTGATCAACGTTTCAGTCCCATATCAGGACTTTCGCCAGGATACAAGTGCAATACAATTGTAACAAAATAAATAACATAGTAAATCAAATACAGTAAATTGTATCCAGCTGAGACTTACCTATGAATCTCAGTTAAACCACCTCCCCGGACGCCGAAAATCGCGGATAAAATTGACCCTGCTTAATGTATTCAGCAGCTGAAGTGTTTGCTGCTGTGTGACCCCTGTGTTCCAGCAGTAACCAAGGAGATCAGCTGGAACGCAAGGGGGCGTATACAACACATGTCGTCATGGCGACTAGCCGATCGTGAATGCGATCGGATCTATAGGGGATGGTATAACCGAGTACATGGGGGGAGTTAAAGGAAAAAGCAAATACATGAATAACTCCTAATCATAACTGCTATTAGCCTTGCTATTTGCAAAGGTTCCATCTCATGAAAATCCATATAACTATGCAAACTAACAGCAACAATAAATTCACTATATATATATATATATATATATATATATATATATGTGTGTGTGTGTAATTTTATTCTAACTGTATTTTGATATTAATATATATGTATTGCCAGAGACCCCAGCAGTCTCTGGTATTGCCAGAGACTGCTGGGGTCTCTGGCAATACCTCATGATCGCCGTGTATTTCGATATATATATATATATATATATATGTGTGTGTGTGTAATTTTATTCTAGCTGTATTTTGATATTAATATATATATATATATATATATATATATCGAAATACACGGTGATCATGAGGTATTGCCAGAGACCCCAGCAGTCCCCCTGCAGCAGATCCGGCCACCCCGGACCTCCAGGGTTATGTGATCACCATGACCTCATTGCCGCAATAGGACAATAGGGGGACCTTCTGAGCTGTCAGGCAGTCCCACAGGCTGCTAAAAAGTAGAAAAAAAATATGTTATACATATATTATATGTATAATAAATCATAAAATAAAGCATTTTATAATATATTATACATACATAATGCATATATATGATTTCATAATTGGACAAGCCCTATATTGACCGTGTAACTTTCCAAAACACCATAAAACCTGTACAGGGGGTATTGTCATAATCGGTAGACTTCACTGAACCCAAATATGAGTTTTGAAAACAGTAAAACTTATCACGGCGATGAAAATCAGCAGTAAAAGTGCAGTTTTTGTGTAAAAAAAATTAAAAAAACAAAAAAAAAATGCTATTTTAGGCCAGCGTTTGTGACTAAGTGGCTACTGCAAAAGACTGGAAATACCCCATTTGGAATAGGGTTGTCTACATTTGAAAATGGGTTGTCTCTATTTGAAAATGGTATGCCATGATGGGGTTATATCACATTCCTGGGCTACCATATGGGTCAAAAGGCAACACAGTCCCAACAAACCAAGCTGGCAAATTGAATTGGACAAGCCCTATATTGGCCCTGTAACTTTCCAAAACACTATAAAACCTGTACATGGGGGATATTGTTATACTCAGGAGACTTCACTGAACACATATATTAGTGTTATGAATCAGTAAAACCTATCACGATGATGAAATCACCAGTAAAATGCAGTTTTTCTGTAAAAAAAGCAAAAAACAAATAAAAATGCTAATTTTGGACTGCGTTTGTGGCTAAGTGGCTACTAAAAAAGACTGGACATACCCCATTTTAAATACAGCGGGTTTTCTACTTTTACAAATGGTATGCCATGATGGGGCTCATTTTCATTCCTGGGCTGCTATATGGTCTGAAAGGCAACAGAGGCCCAGCAAACCAATCTGGCAAATTTCAATGCGCAAACATGGAAAAGGGGAAAGCCCTCATTTAACCCCTGTAAGTTTCCAAAAACCCATAAAACCTGTACATTGGAGGCACTGTTGTACTCGGGAGATATTACTGAACACATATTGGGGTGTTCTTTGTGTGTCTACATTTCACAAATATATGGTTTGATGGGGTAAATTATATTGGCCGGCTTCAAAAATGTTCCAAATAGGACATGGGTGCATGATGACCAGCTCTGAAAATCCCAAGTTGGAAAACTGGAATGCGCAACCTCCAAATAAGGTATTTTAGCCCCCAGAGAACCTGACACTCCTGTACATGGGTGGTATCACTGTACTCAGGAGATGTTGCTTAACACATATTGGGGTGTTCTTTGGCAGTAATACATAACAGGAGCTGAGAATCCATGCCTAAAGTACAATGTGTGTGAAAAATAACACAAAAAATAACTACCCAAATGTTTGACAAAGACTGGTGGTAGAATTAGTGCATGTAAAGTGTTAAAATACCACCATTTGAAATACCCTAGGCTGTCTACTTTTCAAAAATATATGGTTTGATGGGGGTAGATTACATTGTCCGGGTTTAAAAATGTCCCAAATAGGACATGGGTGCATGATGACCAGCTGTGAAAATTCCAAGTTGGAAAACTGGAATGCGCACCTTCCAAATAAGATCTACTAGCCCCCAGAGAACCCGACACACCTATATATGGGAGGTATCACTGTACTCAGGAGATGTTGCTGAATACATATTGGGGCATTCTTTGGCAGTAACCCTTAAAGTTCTCCGTACATGTATTCCTAAATCGCTCTGTATGTCAAAAAAAATCACAAATTATTATTACTTTTTTAAATTTGGCATATATTGGTGGTAAAATGGTTGCAAGAGTCAAAATACCCCAAGCTTAATACCTTACTTTGTCCACTTTCAAAAAAATATATATACATGTGAAGGGTTATTCAGGGATTCCTGACAGATATTAGTGTTACAATGCAACTTGAATAAATTTTGAAATAAAAATGGTTTAGAAATAGCGAAGTGCTACTTGTACTTATTGCCCTATAACTTTCCAAAAGAAGCTAAGAACATGTTAACATTGGGTATTTCTAAACTCAGGATAAAATTTAGAAACTATTTAGCATTGGTGTTTGCGGTTGTAGATGCGTAACAAATTTTGGGGGTCAAATTTTTGAGTAGTGTTAAAAGGTATAATAGGTTCACCTTTAAAGGACCACTATAGGCCAGGTCCATCTAGGGTTAACCCTGCCTGCTGTAAACATAGCAGTTTCAGAGAAAATTCTATGTTTACATTAGGGTTAATCTAGCCTCTAGTGGCTGTCTCACTGACAGCCGCTACAGGCGCTTCTGCGCTTCTCACTATGATTTTCACAGTGAGAAGACGCCAGCATCAATAGACCACACAAAACAAGGTATGAGGAACTGGATAAAAAAATCCAGATATAGCAAAAAAAATCAGAAAAAAATAGCACTCACAAATGCAGCAAAGCCTCTCACTACTGCTCAAACAGGGACAATCCACAGTACAAATCAAACAAATAGAGGCTGCGCAAAATGTTGCTATGTGCACAAAGTGCTACCAAAATGTATTGGAGGACAAAATAATAAACAAACGTTTTGGGTACAACCCTTTTTCAATGCACCATGTCCATGGTGCATTGAAAAAGGGTTGTACCCGAAACGTTTGTTTATTATTTTGCCCTCCAATACATTTTGGTAGCACTTTGTTTGTACACCTAGCAACATTTTGCCCAGCGTCCATAGGAAAGCATTAAGAAATACTTTCCTATGGACTGACTGAATGCGCGTGGCGGCTCTTGCCGCGCATGCGCATTCAGCCGATGACGTCGGAAGAGGGAGGAGAGTCCCCATTGCTGAGGGAGCCCGGCGCTGGAGAAAGGTAAGCCTTTAACCCCTTCCTACTTCTAGAGCCTGGCGGGAGTGGGACCCTGAGGGTTGGGGGGGACCTAAAGACCCTATAGAGCCAGGAAAATGAGTTTGTTTTCCTGGCACTATAGTGGTCCTTTAATTTAATTTGTGACAGATCTACTAACAGTTCTCAGTCCTGTTTAGATGTGTGTATATATAACTGCAGCCCATGATTATACTTACCTGATTATTCTGGTGGAAAGTCCCCACGTATTGGATACAGATATCCACATTATTCTGGTAATTAACATACCAAAACATCTCACCTAACTTGCATCTTAACAGTGCGACAATTTGCACTACTTAATATGGTACCCTGATAGTTAGATAATTCCATTACATTGGCAAATAAATTAATAAAGCCAGATATTGAAAGGGAACTACTATCATGGTTTTCATATATCAGTCAGAGGTTTAGCCAACAGGCTTTGATACTAAACACCTGCTCTCTTTATTATTTGATTAAGTGCATAGTTAACATTATTTCTCCAGCTAAACGCTCATGCTCAAAAACTATTTTGCGGCAGAGCGTTTTGAATTTTTCATTTCTATTTTCAATACAGGGGTTAAGCCTTGACACATTACTGGAGGGCCTCTGGTGATCTAATTCAGTAAGGGTGGACCTGCAAGCGCAGCCCACCTTAGCTGAATATATTTTCATATCTTTAGAAAGACCATTTAATGGTGACATAATCGGTAAATAATATGTGTGGGTACAGTAAATGAGTAAGAGGAAAATTACAGCTAAACACAAACACTGCAGAAATGTAAAAGCAGCCCTGATCCTTAACGGTAAGAAAATTGAAAAGTGGTCTGGTCACTAAAGGGTTAATACATTATAAGTTGCATTTTAAGTAGAATTTTGGGAAACCACTTCAAGCATTCGTGAGCTATTTCAATTGCTTTTGTTTGATTTGTTAATTGCAAACAGCTGAAAGTCTTTAAATTGTGACACTAAATCTGATTTTACAATGGGGGTTGAATAATTTTGATTACAACTGTATATATCAAAAATACTAGGTATAACATGTCAGTCAGAGCCACAGTTTTAATATTTCTGCATCTAAGTATATTTATTTACATGTAACACCTCTAAACACATCCCATCCAGGTTGTTATCACCATTTAGGTATTAACATGAATAATTTTTTATTAATTATTTGTCTGTCTCTAAACTGTCAAATAATTTTAAAGAAGAAAAACTGCACATATTTGAATAACAATGATGAGCATCATTAAAGACAACAGTTAAATTGCATGACTATATTAGTTCCTTTACTGGCAATATTTTTGCACTTCCTACACTTGTGGCTTTCCCTATTTCCAGACTGAGATCAGCCAATGTGAATGAGATTTAGTGGCAATTTTTGAATCACAGTTTGCAAAGTACAAAAAGGAAAGGCACCAGAAAAACAAAAAAAGTTCTAGCATTTGAAAAACTGCTGGTATTAGTAAAACCACCTACACTAATCATGCTAGTTTATCTCTAGTGACATGTGTAAGAAAGTCATCACTCTAGTCTAGGTAAATAGACTGCCTAATGGTTCTACTACCTCAATATTGTTCATAAATTCTGAAACTCATGGTACTTTTTATTTTTTCAAGTCAATTATGTAGATTTAACTAAATAAAAAAGAAGAAATCTGTTCTACTATTCTTGGTTAAATCAAGGAGTTGTCATTTTCAGCAAAATGTCAAAATACCATTTGGTTTTCTATTTCTATTTTGAGTTGTCAGTATGAGTTACAATATTCTCTCTAATTAGTTCTGCGCATTATGTTCCATCTATATATTAACTGTCAATGCTAAATGTTAATTTGGGTGTGTGCAAATTTCATATGTACATTAGGATTTTTGATATATTTATTTTAAAAAATATTCCCAAGTCTTTCACATCCTTTCATATACTTCATTATATACAAAAGTAGAGCATGAAGTTAAGTCAATGGTAGACTCTCCATCCAGTGATTTTATTTTCTCATCTGGTTGTATCTTTCACGTTTAAATTAGTGTAGGACCCGTCAATATTGGAGTACTGTGAAGTAGTGGTGGGCTTAACATGATATGGCCATATGGTGGAACTGAATCCCACATTTGTTTGCTAAAATAGGTGATTTTAAGTAGCCTTATAACATTTTTAAATGTATTGTATTGTTCCTTAATCTGTATTATGTATGGATTTTGGTCATTCCTGCGAAGTTCATGTTTTGGATGTGCCCCCAATTCCTTTTTGTCTTTACCATTTCAAACAATATCTTTGGATATAGGATAATTCATGAGCACCCTTCTAGAAAATCTCAATTTTCCATGGTTGATAGGTGGTCAGGGATTATTATGCCCATCTAAACACCTACTTGCTGTTCCTTTGGAAAGTTACTTAAGTCTTTGTCTATTCCCGAATGTTCTTCAACTATGGTCTTTCAACTGTAATATAAACAACTTCACCATCTTCAGTGAGGAGCGGCTTGGGTGTGATGAATCCACATCTTTCTCTCTTTTAACTTCACGGCAAGCCATGAGCAGTCCTTGTATAAAAACAATCTACTGTGAAGAAGCCTTTTTTGCTTTTCCAGGTTTTAAACATTGCAGCTGCTAATTCTGAGTACCTACTTTGATATCCAGTGCTTTGCAGGTTATCACAGCCACTTCCATGGGTATAAGCACTGCATTTGCCTTTACCTTCACTTGTGGTCCATTCTTAATTTATTTTTGCTCCTGTTGCAGAGAGGAATACTCTTTCTTTTTATAATGCCCCAAAAGCATGATGAACTCCAAATACATATTGAGTCTGTGCAAAAATGAATTCTTTCTCTTCCTCCAAGATGTAATTCTTATCTTAGTGCAAAACAACTCTCCTCCATGTGCTGATAGGGCTGTGCTTTGAGATTTTGTATAAAAATACTGCAGCTTATCCCAATTTTCTCTTCATCCATCAGACGACTTTCTTAGTTCATATATAATTCACCCAAGGATTGACAATTCAATGATTTTTTCACAGTCCTGCTGGTTTGTCAGTGTCTCCACAGAAGCTAAGTAAGTCCCTTGCTTTTTTTTATGCACACAGTCTAAATACCTGGTTGTTATTCACCACACCAGTTGCCTTCTTTAGGGCAGCTCTTAACCCTTGAAAAGTCTTCCTGGCTGTATTTATTTCTCATTGTATTGTGTCAGATATTCATAAAGTCCCCTTCATTTAAATGTTATTTTTTTAGAATTACCTGTCTCTCAAAATAGCTTACAGTTCCTTCTTTGCCAACAGAATTTTACAGATAGCATCCATCCTTTCTTAAGATAATTTGCAATGTAGTTGAAATAAAATACATCCAACAAATCCTACTTGTGGCTGGAAAACAATAGTCCTTTTTCTTGACAGTTTTATATCCATACAGGCATAAATTTTGCAGCAGTGAAAAAACATTATTCACCATTTTCTTGTCTGACCAGCAATCTATAAAGCATTATTAGATGCAGGAGGCATCCTTGGCCGGGTAAGCTGACACTTCTGTGGCTGTTCTGTATCTTTTCATTCAAAGGCAAATAGCAATTTGGTTTTCCTTGGCCACTAGGATAAAAAGAAAGGGTCTTTAAGTCCATTGTAGTAAAAATAGTATATTTGAAAACTAGCAGACATCGTGCTGTTTATAGGTGTAGTTCATTTTGAAATGATCAGACATTCTGTAAAAAACCACTGGGGTCGTGTTTAGTCCTGGAACACAGTAAAGGAGGAGACCATATTTAAAAGAAGAAAAACTACCATAACAAGAGGACATATTCTTAAATTAGAGGGACAAAGGTTTAAAAATAATATCAGGAAGTATTATTTGAGAGAAATAGGCCTTTTGTGTACATAGAAAAAGTCTTAGATCTTTGAGTTCAGCTCATGAAAAATGGGGGCAAAAACAAAAGAGTTGTGTTTAAAATTTTGTTCAGTGTATATGATCTAAAACATTAAGTTGACCATATCCCACTGATGCCATGCTACCTATGATTAAGTTAAAGCACC